GCTGAACCTATACCAAAGACTTTTCGTTGTTTATCCAATGTACTGAGACACAATGAACATTCATTGCTGTCCAGAGGTTTAGTATTAATATCTCTTTAGGCAACTGTAAAGTAGGATTTTACATGTCATATAAAAAGGCATCCCAGCCTAGTCCAGAAGTTGCAAAAAACTTATGCTCCAGAGGGAAGAGCCTCATGCCCCATAGTCTGCAAGTGTGGCTATTCAAAGTTAAACCTTTGAACACCAATTCTGAGCAGCAAAATACCCACCCCCCCGCCATGTCCTGATTTTCACAGATGCTTTGCCCTAAGTGAAAAACAGAGTTTGTGGCATGCATTTAAAAGTGGAACTATTTGGCAGTAAAACAAAGGCAAAGCCAAACAAGTCACAGATTAGAAAATACAGCTTTAAGATACTGTGTTGTGGCTGAATTGTGAGGAAGCACAGGAAAGCCAGTGATCAAAAAACCAGCAATGATCATCTTAAAATAATCTCTCTTGGCTTTACTTTTTGTGTGAGCTATGATCTAAGAATTTATCTTCAAATTCAGAGCTCGTCGGCACATCTGAAAAATGTATATAATTTCTGTCACCATGTCAAATCCAAATCTGAATTTTCTTTTTCCCATTCCATTGTGCTGCCCAATCTCTCTAGGCCCATCTGGAATACCTCATAAGCCTCCACAAGGTGAACCAAGAATAACATGGCAGTGGTTGAGGAAACACATACAAATACAATATTCTGAAGCAGCAGGAAACTCTGAAATGTGACTAATCACAAGAGCGTGAAACTTCCTGTTTAAATGGGTCATTTATTTTCTTTTTTTGTAAGGTTTATACTTAAAGCCTCAGTGAACTCATGAGATTAGAGCTGTATGAATTAACTGCAAAGAAAGAATAATGCTAGCATTAGACTTTAGTGGAATATCAGGTATTGATTAGCTAATTCTAGAGATCTGGGAACATGAAGTCCTACATCTTATAACCAGTAATAACTGCACTAAAATGTCATGAAGAATTGTGTGAACAGGGAGAGCTATTCCATGTATCTGTGTATTAGTGTATGAGAGAAAGAAAGAACAAGATCTAGGGAGCAAAGACAAATATGAATGAAACAGTGATATGGTTAAAGGTTCTTGCAGTGACTCACAAAGCTAAAATAAAATTTAATTTCCTGTGATAAACGGAAAAGCAACAAAGTGTTCATCTAAAAAATTATAACTACACTGCTGAGATGATTTATGATTCTGTGCATACTTAATTCCAATACTTAAGAAATTGTAAGAAGACTTCATAGGAGTCAACAAAAGTCCACACTACCTTACTTAATTTAGCAAATATGGATTTAAAGAAGATTCTAGAGAAAGTTCATATATTCTTCATTAAAGATTGAAATATTAGACTTCATACTTCTCAATCTAAATTAAGAGTAGTGCAATTAATTAAAAAAATAAAGACAAAACTGCATCAACAGCAATTTTTATACACCATGAAGGTGAAAAGAAAAAAAAAATGACAATTTTGTTTAAAATCTTTCATGGGACATTTTTTTTAAAACTTGGAAACCGAGCTAGCTCTAATGGTGTACAGAATTTATTGGACAATTATTACTAGCCTTGATAGAGTGAAAGAAAGTCCTGAAAATTTTCCAAGGCATACAAAAAGCATTCTTAACAAGGGGGACTACTATGAACAGACGGGCATGAAAATTCATATATTTCTAGGTTTCTCATCTAAGAGTCAGTACTTGACAGGGTATTAGACCTAGTCAAATGAAAAGTCCCAGAAGCCTTGTTCTCCTACTACATCTCCCAAGCATCCCAGCAGAGCTGCAAAACTTTAGAGAACTATAGAAAATTCATACAGACTGAAGGCAGACTTACAGACCTTTGGATCCAGACTGCAGAACACACTCACAGCGCCATCTTTGTATGCTTATTTATTCAGCTATCTCTTGCTCAAACACACACACACAAAGTAAATGTACACACAAACAATATGACTACCATCTAATGAAACAATTCTTACCAACTTTAGAGAAGAAAGAGCAAGAGCGATTACCATTTTGCATAACTTCTAATTCTCTAGAAGATTTCCAGATACTATATGATTTGTATGGCAAGCTGAGAAGCAAATAAAATTGTTCCGAACTGTAACTAAGTGTCATAGTCACATACAGTCCATTCTCCTGGAATAAATAATATTTATTTATGTATTAAACAAAGACAAGTAACTGGCAAGCCTGCATAAACATCTTTGTACTTACAGTGCCAGGTCGCGGGTATGGAATTCTGCCCTGATATGGAATCAGCTGGTGGTTTGGGCCCTCCTTGTGTGCAAATGGCCCATTGAACACTGTCTGGATGTCAGATAGATGATACACACACACGGCTGAGCCTTTAAATATGGAGCTGGGAGACAGTAAGAAAAAGTTAGTATTGCAATCTACCAACTTTTTATAGCTTTTCTATCATTTTGCATGGTCCAGTAATGAAAAATACCTCTAAAAGAATATATTTAATACAATTTAATGCTTCTATAGCATGGATTTAATACATTTTAAATCACCTAATTTAGCTTCCCAATATACACCATTACTCCTTAAGACCTAGAACATTTTTGAACAGTGAACTGAAAAAAAGAGGGAGGAAAGTACTACCCTACTGGTGCAATAAGAAAATTTCCTAATGTTGAATATAAAAGAAATATAATCTGGCCCCAGTTAAATCAGTGGCAAAAATATTGCTGACTGCAGTGAGACAAGAGCTTTATAAACTTTGTACTGCCAAGTTCAGCACAGGTTTCCAGAACTCCTTACCAGTGTATTAACCACAAGACCTCCATGAGCCCCCTAAAATATGTGGCTAAAATATTTAATCAAAACATCCAGCACAATTACAGTGGGTTAGATTATTACAATCAGTTGCCAGCTTTTCTAGGCAAAATGGGGACAGGTTGTGAGTGTAAAGGAATTACTCCTATACAGTCCTCATACCCACCCACAAAACTGGTTTTACAAAGACCCTTTCAAAATGGTTGAAGTTTGATGCTTCCCGAGGAGAACGCAGGGAGTCACCTATGAGAGGGCAATGTTTTTTCACTGCTCTGGATTCAGCAGTGGTCTCAGATACTTCCTTAGCCAGCACAAGCCCTGAGTGGCCTCCATCACCCCGTGATGATGGAAGGAACTGGGGGAATAATTTCCAGAGTGATGATAAGGCTGACTGGAGTGAATTAACTTTTTTTTTTTTTTACTGCATATAAGGTTTGGGATATTTATTCCACATAGTGGGAACTCCAGACAGTCTGAAATCTGCCTGATGTTAAATGTAGGATTAAGACAATCCAAATAACCCTCTGTTTTCAATTGAAAAAGAAAAAGAACACTCCAGAAAAAAAATTGAAAACATTACACATAGTGTCTAAACAAGGAAAGTACAATCCACATTGCTCTCAGCTATATATGGATTAGCAGGAGGAACCTTTTAGATGGATTATGGTATTTGTGGAAATTTTAGTAGGTATTAATAGGATTTAAGAAATGTATTTAATCTTTCCAGATGTTTTATGTTAGATTTACAGCAGATTATGCCACCAAAATAATTTGCTTCAATATTACTTGGTTTCCTTATGTGTGGTTTAGATAAATGTACTAATAGTTATTATTTGGTGGGATGCTTCTGTCCAGTTATTCTTGAGTTGGAAGTCTACAGAGGTGAAGATAAAGGAACTGCTAAAGAGTAAAAATCATTATGATTGCTGTATTTAACTAGGTAACGCATCCAATCTATAGTCAAACAAAGAGAAAGAAAGTATACACCATGTGGTTCATGATTACGGAAACGCATGAGTGTAAAAGCTTCAACAGAGAGAAAACAGCTTGAGAGCCAGGAAAAAGTGAAGTTTTCTCTTTGTTGTCACCTTATATGGTCCTGTGATTTGAACCTCATTTCCACTGCAGGAATACCAGGAGAATTAGGTAAAAGTGTTCCCAGTTCAGGCATGTTGCATCCACAACCTAATCATAAGTGTGGTTTTACTACTAAACATAACCTCAGCATTTTCTCTTTTTGTGCAGTAGGAATCGTAATACGTAGACAGCACCAGATGTTTACAAGTTATGGGATTCTTTTTTCCCAATTAAATACCATAAAATCATATTTTCCTGGCTGGTTCACGCATTTGGGAAAGCAGATCCCTGGATCCACATGAAAAAAGACAGAAAAGTGTATTGGGAAAAATATTTTTTCATGCAATGATTTTTTTACTAGAAATTGCCATTAACAAAATTACTAGTAATAAGTTAAATAATCTGCTACTTTGATGAAATAAATTAAATTAAACTTAAAAAAAGCAAAAAAGGTCTTTGAAGTTAAGTAATAGCAGTTCAATAACACAGGATGGCCTATCAGAAATCAGTAAGCACTAACTATTCCTACTCTGTATACTAGCACTACATAATGAGGGCAAGAGAAAAGTGAAAAAAATAAGGGTAGAGATGGCAGAATCTGTTGGTCCACCTGTCGGTCTATCTTTGTGGAGAGTTTCAGCACGGTAAGCCATACGCCCTCCATGGCCCTCGGGAGCTCTGAATGCTTTCTCAACTGGACAGTAAGCGAGTACTACTGACTGAAAACAGGGAGCTTAAGGCTGCAAGAAGGTGATCAAATGCCATGTAAGCCTGTCTTTTTGTAGCCAACTGAAGCCGACATGGGTTATTTGCCATCTGCGCAATCATCTGCCAGTGAGAGACTGGAAATGCTTTGTATGGATTCATGTAAGAATTCCCAGTTTGATCCTTCAGGGTGCTGGATGTCCTTCAGGAGGTGTTAATTGCTCTCAGATGCCACATGAGTTCACTGCATTGAAGTCACTTAGCTTTCCGCTGCTGAACAAGTGGCCCTCCACCGAAATGTTTTCCCAGAGCCAGCTGACAGTAAGTCAAGGAGCAGTTTGCTCCAAGCAGCACAGCTCTAGCACGGATACCAACAGCAACAACACTGAGACTGTTATTCCTGCGTGCAAACGATGGCCACAGCAGACAGACAAAATCCATGACCACAAACCATCACTTTCATTTTTCATATAGAAAATTGCGCAGTTCAGAAAGGTCATTTTTTCCTAATCTCCCCTTTTACCTTGATGTTGTAAAAATTCCATACACAAGCGTTGTTCTGGGGTTATCTGTCTCTAAAAGAAACACATCCTCTGTAAGAAAGAAAAGGAAAAAGAAAAAAAAAAGAAACATTTTGAATACTAATACAAACTTTGTTTTCCAGGTGAATTTATGACTTTATTCCTGATGAGGTCAACAGTAGTTTTGTCTCAGACTTGAATGGGAAAAAGCAGATTTATGTTATGAATGGACCATATGCACCAATCTAGCATTTGAACATTCAGAAACTGTTTGGGAAATTAACTCCCCACCACCTAGCCTTATGAAGACAGAAGGCAAAGATTTTCAAATACGTTCAGGATCCATGCTGCACATTTCTCTCAGCTGGATCTCATTCCAGCAGGTTGTTCAACAGTAGGCAAACAGTTAAACTGCAGTAGGTCAAAGACAGAGAATTCCCATAGATGGATGTAAGGCAAAGCAGGACAATTAGGTGTTTTATCATCCAGTCCACACTCTAGCTGCCCTCACCAGCTCATTTTCAACATGATATGAATGACACGCAGTGTTGCAGTGAAGACACCGAGAGATGTAAACCTCCCAGCTTCTACTGTATAGGGATTTATTGGCTGCGCTATGCAAAACTGTAACTACTCACTGAACTGAATTTGCCCACCTTTACCTCTGAGCTGTCGATTTTTTTTTACACTTCAATGAAAAATACCTTAATCTCTGACGTTTCTCCTTTTTAATAACTATAATCAAGCTACCTCTTCAACTTATTTTACAACACAGAAAAAAACTGAATTGTTTGAGCTTTTGATCATAAAACATGTTCTTTAGCTTTCCATTACTTTATGTAGCTCCTTCATTAACCCTCTGAAATTTTTAAACATTCTGTTAAATATGGCAAAATCAAAAGACTTCACCATGCAGGACTAGCAGTGTTACACTCTTCTGCATTATACCTGAATTTCCAGCTGCATTTGTGTTCTTACTCTTTGCTACAGGGTTGTACTGGGAGCCCAGGATGAGAACATTGTCTCCTATTCTGATGGTCCTCCATTCTGTCATACAGAAACTAAAAGCAGTTACCCTACCACTTTGTTGAAGAGGACTGGGCTGCTAAATCACAGCTCTGAAAGATCAGTTGCTGTGGCAGTGCTAGGAGGCACTGGGAATTTCTGAAAGTCAGTCCTCCAAGCATCTTACATATTCTGAGTTACAGCAAGTTAGGATCTGCTTCTAGGCCCATCAGGTTCCATCGAAACATTGAACCAAAGCAAGTACACCAGATATTTGTAAAGATATAAAGTCAAAAATACTCCAAACCCCATTAGCTGTCATGAGAATCAGGACTAATGACAGAGAAAAGAGAAAGAGATTACAATGAAGAGAAGGTCAGAATCCGATGCAGCCCCAGTGTGGGGCCCATTAACTATTTACATTATTTATATTTATACTAATATTTATATTCATACTGATATTTATATCTGTATTTATATTTATACTAATACACATACCAGACCTTCCAATGCCTGAATTTAGAACTGTGACTTTGTATGTTACTTTGTATGTTATGTTTGTGGACAATATAGAATCTGAAACTTTCTGATAATGCTTTTTGGCACTTATATATCAAGACATGCATGTATTAATTCCTTATACAGCTGGTGACGATGGTATAGATTATTCACTGCATTCATAGTATTATTGCTGGTGCCAGTAACAGGATTTTTTAGTATTATCTTGAACTATCAAATTGAGGCCTCTATCAAGTGATCAAAAATGAAATTCTGTATTGCAGAAAAGCTGTATGTTACACAGCGGTATAAGAAACAGTTTCAAAGAGATGTATGTTAACAAAACTTTATCATAATCCTAACTAGGAGAAAATAACAACAGACTTCACTTACATGTTCCCTTCCAAATATTAGTTCTTAACGTGCATAATTCCTTTACATAGTCAAGATTAATTACCTTTATTTAAAAGATAATTATAGTTACCCAGAGAGATTTATGGAGGATATTTTAATTTCCTGTCATAAAACGACAAGGGGAATTTTGTCATGAATTTCTACAGGGCCAAGATTATACTGTCAACAACTTGACTAAGGAGCTGTATGAACATCAATAATTTAATATGCACAGGGTGCAGGATTTAGATAAAACTTTTAAGGGATTTTCTTGCCATACCTAATTCATCAAAGTATGTTTCTGTTCCATCTTCATCCATTACTGAGCATACAAGTCTTGCTTTCAAAAATGTTGTCCACTTGTTCACGAGACTACGCTGACCACCTGTGTCATTCTGGAAAGGAATATTACTTTCAGAAAAGAAACACAACACAGCTAACATTTTCCAGGGCTTTCCCACATTTTCCTCAGGTTAATTTGACTCACCATCTAGACAATTATGCTGGTTTATTCAATATAAAAAATAGATAAGTCCAATCCAAATCCCCTCGACTGAACACTCCAGATACAGGAAAAAACAAGGACTAGTTTCCTGAGCAGACTTGCTGTGCTGGGCTAGCAGGCTTGGGAGGGTTGGGCAGTAGATTTTGTGCAGCAGCACTGTGTGTAGGTATGATTGGAAGGGACTGCAGAGGTCTGTATCACACCAAGTGTGGAGAAGTCCATGCTACCTCTAAAAGGTCTAATAGTCCTGTGGAGGGATGTTTCTTCTAGTCCTGAAAGTCTTTCAGATGCATCTGACTGAGAAAGCTGTACTGGCCCATGAGATGGATGACCTGAACTAAATTCAGAAATGATGGGTAGCATGGGTCAAGCTAGTTTTGCACTGTGGCAAGGTGTTGATATATGAATATGATGGTATACAAGTATACAAATATGACTGGCTCAGGTTTATTTCATTGGCTTTGGTATTCTGCCACTGACTTCAGTGTAAGCCTAAACAGGCTGAGGCCTTTCAGAAATCATCTGGACTTCATTATAACAGTAACAATAACAAATACAGCTATGATTGTGTAAAATGTCTTCTTACAAAATATCCAAAAAAGCCTTTGGGCACCCTCACAAAAATACAGAAAACAGAGATTATAAAAGAGATCACATGGCTCACCATATTGCTAGAAGAGTTTAACAAAATCCCATACATGCCCTCACACCCATGCACAACAACATCACAAAGCATCAAATTCTAAAGAAGACCCAGATTAAAGACAAGGAATACACAAATGCTCACAATTATCTTCCTGAACCTTTCTAAAAGAAGGAATGAAAAGGCTAGCAGCAAGTGTGCATTTATAATTTTGCTCTCATTAAAAAAAAATCCATTTCACCAGAGATATTAATAGCTGCCTCAATCATTTTTCATCTACAGTTGATTATAGATACAAAAAAGGAAATAGAGACAATGAGGAGTGCTGTGATCGTAAATTAATTACTGCACAGGAGTAGCCATAACTCCTGAATTTAATTCTCCTGTGCACATTTTTAAAGTTAGGCTCAGGCTCAGGCATACATAAATGCAAGAACTCAGAAAGGACAGATAGTGTAAAAATGAAAACATTATTTGAAAGTTAAATCAATCCATTTAAAAGCTTGGCTCTGGTATTTCCAATGTGTTTCAAGGATTTTGAGTGTATTTGTGTGTGTGTGAAAGACTTCTCTGTCTTATAGTTCAGTTTTTCTAAGCAAAGAACACACCTCATTCTTACAAAGGACAGCAAGTTTGGAAATTCAACACTGGTAACTATTCTGAGTCAGTCAAAAAAATACACAAATTCCTGAATCTCTAAATTTCCATATCATTATAGGTATAGCCAGATATACATAACATGTTCAGACTCTAGCTGTGTGTTCAGTAACAGCTCTTATAAATTATGAATGTGGAAGTTGAAACAGGAAATTTGTTTTGAATATAAATCAAAGGCTTTTCAATCATTTAGTCTTTTAGCTTATCATGTCACACTAGCAGCTTGTCCCAACAACCTGGCAAACAAAACAGTTCTTACTGGGCATATTCTTGCAATCATTGAGTGAATTTGCTTTGTGCTGCCACTGTTGTCTGTGAGTCTCTCTTTGAAGAAGAAGTAGATTTTGGCATCGTTGGGGTCAGTGCCATCTGGGATAACATGAGCATCCACAAAAATAGGCTCTGAAATGAAACAGTGTACCAAAAAGATGAAACCAAAAGATGTATCAGTATAATCACAGAATCACAGAATCGCAAGTGTTGGGAGGGACCTCAGGAGATCATCTAGTCCAACCCCCCTGCTAAAGCAGGTTCTCCTAGAGCATGTTACACAGGACTTTGTCCAGGTGGGCTTTGAATATCTCCAGAGAAGGAGACTCCACAAACCCCCTGGGCAGCCTGTTCCAGTGCTCTGTCACCCTCAAAGTAAAGAATTTTTTCCTCATATTCAACTGAAACCTCTTATGTTTCAGTTTGTACCCATTGCCCCTTGTCCTGTCTCTGGACACCACTGCAAAGAGTCTGGCTCCGTCCTCATGACATCCACCCTTAAGGTATTTGTATGTATTGATGAGGTCCCCTCTCAGTCTTCTCTTCTTCAGGCTGACCAAGCTCAACTCTCTCAGCCTTTCCTCATAGGGGAGATGCTCCAGTTCCTTAATCATCCTAGTTGCTCTCCTCTGGACTCTTTCTAGGAGTTCCTCATCTTTCTTGAACTGGGGAGCCCAGAGCTGGACACAGTACTCCAGGTGGGGTCTCACCAGGGCAGAGTAGAGGGGGAGGATAACCTCCCTCGCCCTGCTGGCCACACTCCTCTTAATTTTCCAGCAGGTCATCCCCCAGCCTGTACTGGTGCATGGAGTTCAACCTCCCCAGGTGCAGCATTCGGCACTTGCCCTTGTTGAACTTCATCAGGTTCCTCTCTGCCCAACTCTCCAGCCCGTCCAGGTCCCGCTGAATGGCAGCGCAGCCTTCCAGTGTATTAGCCACTCCTCCCAGTTTTGTGTCATCAGCGAACTTGCTGAGGGTACACTCTGTCCCCTTGGCCAGGTCATTGATGAACAAGTTGAACAAGACTGGGCCGAGTACTGAGCCCTGGGGAACTCCAGTAACTACAGGCCTCCAACTGGACTTTTCCCCGCCGATCAGAACCCTCTGAGACCTGCCATTCAGCCAGTTCCCAATCCACCTCACTGTCCACTCATCCAACCCACACTTCTTGAGCTTCCCTATGAGGATGTTATGGGAGACAGTGTCAAAAGCCTTGCTGAAGTCAAGGTAGACAGCATCCACCGCTCTCCCCTCATCTACCCAGCCGGTCATGTCATCATAGAAGGCTATCAGATTGGTCAGGCATGATTTCCCCTTGGTGAATCCGTGCTGGGTACTTGTGATGATCTTCTTTTCCTCTGCTTGCTTGGAAAGGACACCCAGAATGAGTTGTTCCATCACCTTTCCAGGGACAGAAGTGAGACTAACCGGCCTGTAGTTCCCTGGGTCCTCCTTCTTGCCCTTTTTGAAGACTGGAGTGACATTGGCTATCCTCCAGTCCTCAGGCACCTCTCTGATAACGGGACTCTCTTCTGCACACATTTTGAAAACAAGTGGTGATGAGTCTTCTGTGCAGAGGTGGATCAGCCTGAATTAGCTGAAGCTAGCAATTCATTAAAAAAATCTTAGAATCAAGCACCCTAATTTAAGGCAATGTCTGATGCATTAGACGTGGAGAAGTCATTTCCCTAGAAGTCAGATTGTCTGACCACTTGCCATCTGAAAGGTTTTCGCAGACTTTCCCTTGAACAGTTTGGTTCAGTCTTAAGGCAAAAAGGCCATCAGGTGGGGTGGCCTAAGAGGTTGGCTCATGCAGTGAACCCTTTACATCTGTGCTTTGTCTACAATATGTATTTACACACATTTCTTCATGGTTCAACTTCATCAGTTAAATTCAGAGAAAAGCTCCTTAAAAGGCAAGCTCTTTATTTTAAACAAACCAAAGCAGACTCTCTGTGAAACACATTAAAAGCTCTGGTAAAACAAAGGCATCTCACCACTCAGCCACTTGGAGTTGTGCTGGTCAGTTCGCACTGCATTCCTCTTGGTCAGACTCCGAAAAATGGCTGCATCTGTACCCATGAAGTCAATATACATTCCTGAAAAAAGCTCTTCATCTGCAAAGAATTGAAATGGAGGGGAAAAAGCAAGTGCATTGTTATGGATTTGGGGAAATCTGGATTTACTGATCTATTTTTCTTTTAAACTCATCAGCTCTTTATTTACACAGGAGCCTATACAGATACATATTGGGTCACAGCAATGGGGCTTCCCTCTGATTTACAAAGACACAATCTAGAATGCATGAGAATCATCAGATTTTTCTTAAAGACTTAGGGAACTGCGTAATTAAATGTAACAGCAGAGCTGCATGTGTGGTGAACCCTTGAGAAGAAGTTCAGTTGCTCAACTTTTACTGCTAAGGATCACTGGAAAAATCAGGCTAGTCTTATCAAAAAGAATCACATTCAATTTTTTAAGTACGTACTTCAAAAAGCTTTTTTTGTTGTTACGGGAGTAGACAAAATGACTGGGCTGAATTTATTGCTGGTGTAAACTGGCACAACATCTATTGTAGTCAATGGATCAGTGCCAATTTTTTACCAACAGTATTGTCAAGGCTGCCCCAGGCAGACTTAAGCTGACTTCAGTATTGCAGAGGCCAGACAATCATATTATTGAACCTTACACAGAGTAATACGGAGCAACAATCGTCCCCTTTTATGTACATGCTTCTAAGTATAGGCTCATTATGCTTGAACAGAATTAGACACGCAACTCTTACATTAACAGAACTATGAACTGCTCCCCGTGCAGGGCTGAAAACAGTTCATCAGTCAGGATGTATATCTGTGTTTGCGTGAGTCTGTGTGTGCATAAATACACGTATATATGATTAGAATTATAATTACATATACTTTCATTTTCTACTCCGTGAATAACCAAGCAATTTCCACTGACTAATGACAATGAAACCCCAGAGCAGAAAACAGTAGCTAAAATAAACTCTAACTCTCGGAGTGGGAGTGGTGGCTGAATACATTCCAGTACAGCTGGGTCCTCTGATTGATGTTTTTGTCTGAATTCCTGGACTACCCAGAGAGTGTGGTCAAGCTGGCAAGAGTCACAGGTTCAGAAGCGCTTGAGGCTATTTTTATGCTCCCTCTGTGTGTGTGTGTGTGTGTGTGTGTGTGTGTGTATCAATATAGAAGACTGTTAGCTCAAGAGAGAATTAAAACTCTGGAGATTTAGTTTTTCTGCTGCTGGCTAGAGCCTGAACTGAACCCCTGCAGACCATCCAGCAGCCACTCTTCTGCTCTCATCTCTCCCGGTGATGACAAGATTCACACGCGGGGGATTTAAACAATGCATTCGCTGCATGTCTGTGAAGCATTTACTTCCTGAGCATGTCTTGACAGAATGATGTTAGTTCTATACTGATTTATAACTGATTTTGTATATTGGCCTTATTGCCTCAATCTGTCAGAACTTTATTCTTATTATGAAATGAATTGTCTGAAAGAGATCAGGCTTCTGGTTCTCACTAAACATTATGTACTGTTCTATGCATACATAGCTATGCACACACTTTAACAATAGTACTACACTATGCAATTTTAATCCTATTAGGTATCAACACTACTGGTTATGTCTTAAGCATTCCTAGCGTCTACTGGCTAATCATGTATCAGATGATATCCGTCAGCTCCACTTCCTTTTGGTTAAATTCTTAAATTCCGCACAGCACTTGGTCTGCACAGCACAACTAGTTCACACTACTTCTCTTTGTTACTGGGGGAATTACCGAATTGATGAGGTATGTCTGCTTTCATAAGTATGTCAGAGTCTTGGTGGCGAGAGAGACATGCATCCTGCACATTAGTTATGCCAAGCTTCTTCAAATGATATTTTTCATTGCTTTGATGCAAAAGTATCTTTGTACAATAGCAAATTGTACCAAGTTCAAATTTGGTTTTATAGCATCACTTTGCTCTGAATGGTGAATCAGCTTTCCAGCTGTATTCTAGGCTGGTGATGCCCAAGATTGCCAAGAAATTGCAGCTATATTTAAAAGTGGTTCCTTTGTTGTGGAAGAGTTATGCAGTCTGACAGTATTTCCTATCTTCTAAAGCAAGGGGAAGGAATTCCTCCTGCAGAAGAATGCTCAAAGGAAAGTCCAGTACATGGGCTCAGTCCTTGCATTTTAACTCCAGCTGTGATTTACAAAATCTTCCCTTTTTCAGCATTGATATTGAGGCTAAATTAATTCAAGCTTAATGTTTTTGAAGTGACTGGACTTTGTAGTGACAGGGAGAAAGTATAAAGCTCAATCTGTGGGACTCCTTTGAAAAAGAATGTGACCTTTGTGGAATAATTTTAACTTTGTAGATGAATTATGTCATGAAAGATAAGTCAAACACTAGGGAAGGTCTCTTCAGTCATAACTGAGAGATCAAGGATAATAACGTAAAGTCTACTAAGATGAACAAAGCTGCCATAGATCTACTGTAGAAAAAAATCAGCTTACTGTATATACAGTAATTCATAAACAGTGCACTTTAATGGTGTTTCATAAAATCCAGAAGGAACAAGGAAAAGAAACTTTTTTTTTTTTACCGGCAGTTGATTTCACTTAATAATACCAGAAGAGCAATGAGCAGCAGTGGATTAATCCCTCACTGACTTTGAACAAACATTTTCTTTGCACAGTCAGTGTCTGTAAACACTGACCACAGATCACTGATGAGATGAAGATACAAGTGCAGCCAAGGTTCAGAGAGGTATCTAGGTAGTATTTGCCTGTCTTCTAAAGGTGCTTCAGTTCATATCTCTGTGAATGAAATTACTTGTCCTTTGTACTAAATATATTTGCAATGAGGAATGAAAAAAAAAAGCTAATTTATATTGCTGTTCCCTTCATAGCTGAAAATACAGCAAGGAGTAGGCACATGTTGAAAAATCAAGGCTTTGGCACCAGAAGACTGTGAACCTGCTGCAAACGTGAAACATCAGGTTACACTAAGTGTACATAATGTGCCTCCTGGTTGGAAAAGAAAAAAAAAAGAAAAAAGACTTTCTTTTAATGAGTGCTTAGGTTGCACAAAGCGTATGCTCCCTTTGAGTTTTCACTTAGGTGTGCAATAGGCACTGCAGTAATTATTTTTATGGGCTATATCTCACAGTCACTGAGTACAGTCACCACCAATTCACAGGATTATTTGCGGTGTGTCAGTTGTATCACTTTCTGGCCCTTCAACTGGAGGAAAATTGCAAAATTGGTTGGGTATAAAGCCAAATGAAGAATGAAGAGCCTTCCAATAGCTGGTGGGCTCTACAACAGAGATGACAACAGAAATGAAATTCAAAGTAACTAAAGTCTTCAGGCTTTCTTTCCCTGGCTACACTGAGATTTTACAAATAATTAAATGAGACACAAGTGCTGTCTAGGATGAACAAGGTCAGAAACTGTTCAAACACAAAATGCTAGACAGGGTAATGCAAAGTTGAAACTAACCCTGGGAAAAAATGTGTAAGCTGGAAAAAGGACAATTTTTTGTTTTCTCTTTCTCTCTCTCTCCCTTTCAGCAGCTTATTTCTGCATTTCATTTGTACACCCTCCTTTAGCTTCATGTAAACCTTGAAACAAGGATGGACCCAACTCTTGTGTCCATCTCCTGGGAGGCTGAACTCTGTGTACAGCTTGTTTTGGGCATCCCGTCAGTCCACACCATGCATGATCATATCAGTTTAGACTTCAGCAACTTGGAGTATTTTTACTTACTGATCATAACAGACACCGTATTCACATTAGGGTTGAAAGAACAGCGTCCCTTTCCTGATTCACACTTGGAGTCAATCTTGAAGATTTGTTCCTGCAACGTAAATTTGTGAGTCACTTCTCATTTCAGAAACCATCAGAGGTAAAGTGATTTTTATGCGTGGCTGTTTCCAGCATTCACAATGCTGCAAGCACTGCTGGGCACTTTTGCTGTACTATCAGCAGTTTAGCTTTCCTATTCAGAATTTCATCATCTTTTTAGACAACTTTTTCATTGGTACCCAGTTATTTTCAAGACTCTTGTTATAAATTCAAGACACTGAAACAAAGAATTTTTCCCTCTAGCTCACTTACGCTTTGGAGAAGTTGATTGATCTCTGCAATAATATCTGTGGAGATTACTTCTGTGTTTTTGAAGTTATTTATCCTTTATTTGCTGAATACATGGTGATACTTATACTAGTCTAGGACATTATAACAAAGCTACCAGGACAATAATACATATTAAATAAAAATGTCTTATGACAACGTCCTGGTCATTTGGTGACAGTATAAACCATTTGCTCTTTACTGAGCTATCAGACCTCCCCAAACCCTCTAAATCATACTTCTTTTCTTCAATACTATATCTTCAATTGTGTGTACAGCTCCACAGTGTTAGATGTGATATATCAATGTCTCTTGCCATAGCCTGAAATCCCTTGGAAATTTTTTGCTGTTTAGAAATCTTGGTATGGGGCTTTGTTTATATTTTATGTGATTTATAAATAGGAAATACTTTAGGAATACAAAGCAGAAGCAACCTGGACTACAGCTTGAAATACAAACAGTCTGAATATCTTTAGAAAATTCACCTGTTCCGGTGCATCTCTTCACTTCTTGGTTCCCAGCAATACTGAAGAGCACAGTATGCTGAGCAAGAAGGGACTCTTGCATCCAAGTCCGTTCCTTAAAAACTGCAGCCAGTAATGGCAGAGACATCCATCCAGAGCACATCAACTCGTGTACCATTGGGTACCAAACAAATAACTTGCTTCTAGCCTCCTATAACAAATTTCTAATCCTTAAGGCCAAAAGACACAATTGCAAGGAAAAAACCCTCCCAAACGTAAAACATTTCTGTTTCAACAGGAAAATGTAGCTCACAAAAATTCCAAAGAAAGCCTCCTGTGATGTAGATGCAGCAACTCTTCATATTCTCTTTAACAACTAAGGTAAATCACAGGGGAACAGGGATGCCACACAGATCACTGAGCAGTCATTTAGTGACAGTGAAAGGAAAACTGCAGAGACATCCATCCAGAGCACATCAACTCGTGTACCATTGGGTACCAAACAAATAACTTGCTTCTAGCCTCCTATAACAAATTTCTAATCCTTAAGGCCAAAAGACACAATTGCAAGGAAAAAACCCTCCCAAACGTAAAACATTTCTGTTTCAACAGGAAAATGTAGCTCACAAAAATTCCAAAGAAAGCCTCCTGTGATGTAGATGCAGCAACTCTTCATATTCTCTTTAACAACTAAGGTAAATCACAGGGGAACAGGGATGCCACACAGATCACTGAGCAGTCATTTAGTGACAGTGAATGGGAAACTCCAAAAACCTGAAATGCTCAGCCACACCAGGAATTTTTCATATCCATTATCCCCTATCTCTTTTCTCCCTCTTCTGTTTTTCCTAATTTAATAACAGAGATCTTATCTATTGTTTCAGTAATAAGCTCTCTAAACAATGTGAAAACATAAGTATGAATTTCTAATACAATCCTGTTGGTTTTTTTGTTGTTGTTTTATTTCTAGATTAATATTCAGCTTGATGTTAATCCATATTTACTATATCATACCACTATTTACCAATTCAAAATGCCCATTACTGCGCTATTAAACTAGCTCCAGGATTACACTTGATTTTCATATATATTAAACTACTTTTTAGTCTATAATTAATTCACATAATGATTACATTTCCTTCTGTTTGCATTTATTTTGACATTAGAATATATTTGGGTGACTAAGAGAGTCATTACCAAGGACCAAAGTATCAAGTGTGCCAAGCAAGAAAATTAATTATATTTTAACCTCTGTTTCAGGGAAAAGGGCAACATTCTGCTTCATCAATGAAACTGCCTTTTTGGTGAGATTATGTGGAATCCTGGAGACAAAAAGAGCAAAACAGGCCCAGTTCTTATGATTGTTGGATATGAATCTTACTGTCAGGCTTCTAGAGAAAAACAGATGTGCTTTCTAAAATACCCATTTTCAATGTGCAAAAACTGCCTTCTGTGCATGGAAAACTGTACTAAATTAAAGGTGAAATGATAAAAGCAGAGCAAAAAGTGAGTTCTCGCTAGTCCCATCAGCACTACATAGTTCATTCTGCTCTATTAATTAGTCATGCACTGATATATATGCAAGGAGTTCAGAAGGAAATGCTTGGGTTTAAACTGTTATGCTATTGTTGGCCTGTACATTAATGGCTTTAAGCATGCGATTCCTACAGTCAAGTGTCTGACAGACTCCAGACGTCTGAAACAGCAGTTTATTTAATCAATTGATCATGGGCATGTAGCTATACAGACAGTCCAAGTGAAGTCAGTTCTGCTCTTCCAAGACATGTATCTTTATTTTTAACTTCAGAAATTTAATATCTTGCATCATCTGACAAAAATCCTAAAATATTGACATTTGGAGTTCTCTGGGCTACAGTACTACTGCTTAAGCTGCACTTATATTGCACTAATAAGAGACAAATGAGATCACTTTCCATGTTTTAAATTGTTTATCAAGAAATAGGATAATGCTGAGGAAAGCTGACCTCAGTTTCAAAATACATCAAAATAAGTTAATGCAGACTCTGTTAACCAGAAGGATGGATTTACTTATTCTGTTCTTCTGGCTTGTGCTTTTACATGCAGGCCTACAAACCTCTCCTTTTAGACAATTCATTAGGACTAAAGGTTCAGTGATTCAGACTACATACTCTGGTAAGGAGCCTGGAGCCAGGTAGGGATCTACTAAAAGTGACTGAGATCATCTCATGCAAACCTACCTGGAGAAACAATGATTTATCACCTCCCTGGAAACCTCTGAAGTAGTCTTGGGTGTTGGCCAGAATTCCCAACCCACTCCCAATGAAATCGGTGATGAATTTCCCAGTCTCTTCCCTAGGAGCCAGCCCAGCTTTTAAAGCTGCCATCACATGGCACAACTCCAGGTAGCACTCTCTGATCTTCCTTCCCAACACATCTGCTTCCACATTATACAGGAAAATATACTGCACACTCCTGTGCCTGCAGACATGAATCTGACCCAAAAGCTACTGAGGTGCGGGGTCTCGTGTAAGTGCTTTTCTTTCTCCTTCTGGTTGCTTAATTTATTACCTATTACATTTGCACATAAACAAACATTTCACTTTCATATCAGGAAACTTGGACAATATCCTTATGAAACATCTGGTACTTTGTATATTGAAAATATACAGTGAAACTGAATATAGAAAAACTGGAGACCTATCTAGAGAAAGTAAGATTTACACCCTGGAAGGTCCCACAGCAATGAGAAGACTTACCAACTTCATCCTGGCAGAATCTACTGGGGCAAAACTTGTGCAGCAGATGAAAGTTACCTGCACTGGGATTGCATCTAGTGGGTACTACGCTGAAGTCCAGCAAACCTTCACATAGCTGAATACTTAGCCCACTGAAGGCCTTCTCCCAGGAATCAGTAACACATGGAAGTTATAAAAAGTGGACTGCATATTTTACTTTTTATCTAACTGGCTATTTCCTTTCAAGTATTTCTTGGCAGTTTTTCCAACAAATAGTAGGAATGAATTCACCAGACAACGTCAAAAAAAAGGAGTAGCAAATGTAGCCCAGCATTCGGTATGACTGTGGAATTTTGGACAAACATCATATCTGAAGTATGGCTTTTGATCATGGCTTTGCTTGTTGCTGGTAACAGGTCAGAAAACTATGGACCTTTGTACTTTTTTGATTTAATATGAATGAAAGAACCCATCTGGATCATTGACTTTTGCATTTTCAAAATCTTGAGTTTTGTGTAACAGGAGTAAGATCCACCAAAAACTGAGTGGATAAAATGAGAAGAGTCTTACCTCGGACCTGCGTCCTCTGTTGACATACACGCACACGGGGCTGAAGGCGCCGCTGCCACAGACATACAGGTGCGTGCGATTGTACGACTGTATCACACGCACAAAATTTCCACAGCCATGCTGCAGGGAAGACAGAAAAAAAAAAATTTCACATTGGCAAATGTTATTAGATGTTGGGAACTCTAGGGAATAGACACGGTTTATTATTTTAATATTATCATGAAAACCGCTACTGATTTTGGTAGTCTCAGGATTTGAACAGCTGTAGATTTCTGTTTTCTTTTCATGCCATTTTTCCTAGTCTGGGAACTGGGCATTGATAGGGCATTAAAGAGGAGTTACAGAGGAGTGCATGTAACTTTCCCATCTCCACACAGCAATTTAATTTTCATGCACAGACTTCTCTGTACCTTGCATAGGAAGAAGCAGGGCCTCTGCAGGAAAACAAGAAGTAACCTTATGGAGTTTCTTTAAGGACACCTCCAATACAGTCTTTTATTTCCCCTAATGTTTTCATCATAGCTGGAGATAATTAAAAGACAAAGCAAGCCCAAATCTCAGATCCCATTATTTGTGTAAAAAATTTTTTTCCAAAACACTAAAACTCTGAACAACACAAAGCAAGTTTGCAGTAAATTGTTGCTTCATATTGAATAGTAACATCTTCAAATCAGCATGAAAATTTGTTAAGTGTCACACAGTTTCACAGCATCGGATTTACAGTTTTCTCCTTCTAGCACACACCTTTCTTCTCTTGCTCTTTCCTTTTTTGACTATGATCAACTGTTAACATACCTTAGGTTGAAAACAGATTTTTTTTCTGAATATTTTTCTTACTGAGATCCCAGAACTGCCTTCATATTCAGTCATCCGAAACTGCACCAAAGACAGTGAGAACTGCATGTGTTTTCTGAGCACGGGATTGGAAACTGTGTCATCAGTCATCTTCATGGAAATCAGTAGAGTTAATCCTTGTTCACTTTTAGACAATTCATTAGGACTAAAGGTTCAGTGATTCAGACTACATACTCTGGTAAGGAGCCTGGAGCCAGGTAGGGATCTACTAAAAGTGACTGAGATCATCTCATGCAAACCTACCTGGAGAAACAATGATTTATCACCTCCCTGGAAACCTCTGAAGTAGTCTTGGGTGTTGGCCAGAATTCCCAACCCACTCCCAATGAAATCGGTGATGAATTTCCCAGTCTCTTCCCTAGGAGCCAGCCCAGCTTTTAAAGCTGCCATCACATGGCACAACTCCAGGTAGCACTCTCTGATCTTCCTTCCCAACACATCTGCTTCCACATTATACAGGAAAATATACTGCACACTCCTGTGCCTGCAGACATGAATCTGACCCAAAAGCTACTGAGGTGCGGGGTCTCGTGTAAGTGCTTTTCTTTCTCCTTCTGGTTGCTTAATTTATTACCTATTACATTTGCACATAAACAAACATTTCACTTTCATATCAGGAAACTTGGACAATATCCTTATGAAACATCTGGTACTTTGTATATTGAAAATATACAGTGAAACTGAATATAGAAAAACTGGAGACCTATCTAGAGAAAGTAAGATTTACACCCTGGAAGGTCCCACAGCAATGAGAAGACTTACCAACTTCATCCTGGCAGAATCTACTGGGGCAAAACTTGTGCAGCAGATGAAAGTTACCTGCACTGGGATTGCATCTAGTGGGTACTACGCTGAAGTCCAGCAAACCTTCACATAGCTGAATACTTAGCCCACTGAAGGCCTTCTCCCAGGAATCAGTAACACATGGAAGTTATAAAAAGTGGACTGCATATTTTACTTTTTATCTAACTGGCTATTTCCTTTCAAGTATTTCTTGGCAGTTTTTCCAACAAATAGTAGGAATGAATTCACCAGACAACGTCAAAAAAAAGGAGTAGCAAATGTAGCCCAGCATTCGGTATGACTGTGGAATTTTGGACAAACATCATATCTGAAGTATGGCTTTTGATCATGGCTTTGCTTGTTGCTGGTAACAGGTCAGAAAACTATGGACCTTTGTACTTTTTTGATTTAATATGAATGAAAGAACCCATCTGGATCATTGACTTTTGCATTTTCAAAATCTTGAGTTTTGTGTAACAGGAGTAAGATCCACCAAAAACTGAGTGGATAAAATGAGAAGAGTCTTACCTCGGACCTGCGTCCTCTGTTGACATACACGCACACGGGGCTGAAGGCGCCGCTGCAACAGACATACAGGTGCGTGCGATTGTACGACTGTATCACACGCACAAAATTTCCACAGCCATGCTGCAGGGAAGACAGAAAAAAAAAAATTTCACATTGGCAAATGTTATTAGATGTTGGGAACTCTAGGGAATAGACACGGTTTATTATTTTAATATTATCATGAAAACCGCTACTGATTTTGGTAGTCTCAGGATTTGAACAGCTGTAGATTTCTGTTTTCTTTTCATGCCATTTTTCCTAGTCTGGGAACTGGGCATTGATAGGGCATTAAAGAGGAGTTACAGAGGAGTGCATGTAACTTTCCCATCTCCACACAGCAATTTAATTTTCATGCACAGACTTCTCTGTACCTTGCATAGGAAGAAGCAGGGCCTCTGCAGGAAAACAAGAAGTAACCTTATGGAGTTTCTTTAAGGACACCTCCAATACAGTCTTTTATTTCCCCTAATGTTTTCATCATAGCTGGAGATAATTAAAAGACAAAGCAAGCCCAAATCTCAGATCCCATTATTTGTGTAAAAAATTTTTTTCCAAAACACTAAAACTCTGAACAACACAAAGCAAGTTTGCAGTAAATTGTTGCTTCATATTGAATAGTAACATCTTCAAATCAGCATGGAAATTAAAAATTTGTTAAGTGTCACACAGTTTCACAGCATCGGATTTACAGTTTTCTCCTTCTAGCACACACCTTTCTTCTCTTGCTCTTTCCTTTTTTGACTATGATCAACTGTTAACATACCTTAGGTTGAAAACAGATTTTTTTTCTGAATATTTTTCTTACTGAGATCCCAGAACTGCCTTCATATTCAGTCATCCGAAACTGCACCAAAGACAGTGAGAACTGCATGTGTTTTCTGAGCACGGGATTGGAAACTGTGTCATCAGTCATCTTCATGGAAATCAGTAGAGTTAATCCTTGTTCAACAGACTACACAGTTTATTTTTATTTGAAGATATTTTCAGTTTTGGTTCAGCAAAAAAAAAATACTGCAACATCTGCAAACTGGTGCATACTTGTAGGTACTTTGGAGTTCACAGAAGGAGTTTCTCTACAGGGAACACTGCACGTCCTCAGTTAAGTGTTAGCTGTAGCTATATCAGAAAAATCCTTTAACCCAGTCAAAATATATTGTTTCTCTAAAGCTGAGGGCTGTTCCTAAATGTTTCCATTTTCTCATATCCAGCTATCTTAGCTTGGCTCAAAGATGGCTTTAGTAATATCTTGCTATCAAAATTGTGTTTTTCTCAGCAGTACTGCTAGTCTACCTCACAGCTGCGGAAAGGAAGAAGGACAGCTAAAGGTATATCACTAGCTTATATATGTCAGAGTGTAAACTGATGCCTTCTTTTCTTGCTGTTTGCAAAAAATTTTTCTAGAAGTCTCCTAGATAAAGGATTACATGCTGAGAAATATCAGAATTAAAGTCTTCAGGGATCAGGACTGGGAAACAATGTCTACTTGAACAGTAGCGGTACGTGGCATTTGCTACTCTGCTTCAGTACCACGCCATGTGCTTCCCAAAGTGTCCATGGCAAGAACAGAGGGGTGGTTCGATGAATGGCTCTTTTCTTTAAGGACAGCCTTCTGGGGTAACCACCTGACACATACTATGTCTTCATGTCTCTTCACTGATGATTTACAAAGAACACAAGTTGGCTGAATACTAACATTCTTATATTTAATGCTGTCCAGAAGGAAGACCATTTTATGATCTTTGAGCCTTTGCCCATCTCTCTAGTGCTGAACCACTGAACTCCATTTGCAATTTGCTACGTGATTAATCTGGGTACTGCACTGTGACTCCACAACCCAACAAAGCAAGAAACTGTTACTTCAGAATATATTCTGTAGGACTGCCATTCAATAGCACCTATGCTTCAGTTTATTTCCCCTTCCTTGATACTGGAGTACTTTGTGCTTTTACATCAGTCTCGTCTGAGGTGACATGAGATACTTGTCTTTAGGATGGATGTTAGTCAAGGGAGGTGGCTAACCTGTAGATATTCACACACTATCGGTTCTTCTCTTGGAGCTGATACCAAAACTCACTCAGAAGCAGTGTCTGGGGAACTGCCTTACTGTAGACATCTGAAAGTCAGTCATCTATGCCCTAGGATCTCATCACCGTAAATGGAGAGAAATAAACATGATACTAATGTAAGCATTCAGTTTAGCCAGGAGAATATATTATGTAGAGGTGACAATTTCTTTTCAGTAACAAAAAAGGCAGCCAAAGATGACAAATTCAGACACCAATATTTGTCTAATGGTAGGGCAAACGCACCCTCCCCAAATCTCCTTGGAAAATAATTAGCTGATTGCATAAAGTCCTTTACTGGCTGCTCCAAGTCTATCTGTTCCTCTTTTACCTTGTGATAATCACTATTCTCTGACAGGCCAAACGTAATCATGTATTCACTCCCCCCCCCCCCCCTTTTTTTTTCATTCAGAATTCTTAATTCTTTTGAATTCATCCTCTGTTTCTCCCATTATTATCAGGAATGAAACTCACAAGAATGCTATTAAAATAGAACTATAAATTTTAAGTTGCAAACAGTGATTTAGCATCGGGTTCTCTTTCTCATTATTTCACTGAGATTTCAATAAGACACATCATTGATTTTAGTGGGAGTAGCAGCTGCTCCTCAGTACCTTTTTTTTTTTTTTCCTCTTTTAAATTCTTGAGGACAAATACTAAGAAACTTAATGTAAACTCTCAATTTTGGAGCTTAATTTTTCTGCTGCAATGCACAGTTGGGATTAAAAAAAAATCAGTTAAAGTTGATGCACATGGACATTCTTAATTAACTACGTTACAGGATATTAGCTGTACCTACAATTAAAATGTTGTGAAAACAAATTCTATCCAGAAATCTCTCCACTAATGCAGCAATGGGTACTTGAATATGATTAAAAGCTAGGAAGGTCTCACCACTAAATATCCAAGATTAAAAGTTCTTTGGAGAGTCCAGTACTTAGTAGTGTCTTAGGGTTTTTTTCGCATGGATCACATATTTTGCGTACTATTTTCTGCTTAGTGCATCATCTCAGTTTTTCCCTTTTTTGACCTAGAAGAGTGTCATTATATGTTGGAAACATGACTGAGACGAATGAACTTTTGTATTTCAAAGAAAAGAAAATTCCTTAACTGTTCTATCACGAGTTGATGATGCAGTTAACTTAGTAACTAGGGTCAATGTTAATTGCCATTAACAAAGCTATATGTTTTATTTTCACACTTAGTGCAACTTAACAGGCTCTTAGCTGTAGAATTTACTGCACTCTGCAATGTGAAGATGTATAGAAAAATAGGATATTCAATAGGAAAAATACTTGGTTTTCGCTACCATAGCTATCAGGAAAGAAAGCAGAGAAGCTGCCATACCAACCATAATGTAGTTATTCATAAAGAATCATTCTTTTGCTCTGCAGCAATACAGTGAATGACTTCCAACAGTTTTGAAAAAGCAATATTACAGCAACACTCCAGTAGGCCAACCTTTTGGTTTCCTTACATTCATCAGCATTTGCAATAGATTTTCAGAATAAAGCCCACACATATTTTTCTTACAAAATGGACTCAGCTGAATTATTGTAACATTGCAGTAATTTAACTACATGTCATCTGTAGGCTTAGTTAACAATGCAAAATCTGTAGCTAAAATAAATAGAAATATTAGGCATAATACAGAGAACTTTGAAATAAATAACAGGTTTTATACTAAATTCAGTGAACTTTTGCATTAATTCTACTGTTTCTGAAATTAAAAGCTTAATTTATATACACCTGCTTACATCCTTCAATCACTTCATTAATTATGTTCCTAGATATATGCTGAGGAACATATTCCAAAGACAATTGTACCCAATGTGAAGGCTTTTGATTTCCATAGTTTTTTTCTCAAATAAGAATCTAAGCACAATGTCATTGTTTTTTCTTACAAATTTAGCAATGAGAAATTGCAATTTTCTAGATCAGATTAGGTTCTGAATTCCAATATTAAAATATCAGTTGGAAAACAGCTATATCTAAAGAGCTAAAAAGAAAACCAGGATAAAGACCTTTAGGTGCTGCTGAACTAGTAAAAAGTCAAAAGGAAATATGACATTCAGATTTTTGTTTTACAATTTGGCTGTCTTCTGTTAATAAAATCTAGGTTTATACAGACTGTAAATTCAAATTAGGAATTTAGGAAGACAATCATATTAATATACAGCTTTGCCAAAGACAGGATCTGCTGTATTGTACCACTCAATGGGTCTTTCAAAAGAGTTACCTCATTTCTATCTATTATCTATAGGGAATGTATAGAAAAATTACTGTCTGATTTAGGTCCCTTGGAAGCTGTCTGCATTTAGATGGCAGAATAATCAGCTGTGGTGCAAAATGACTCAACATAACCACACCATGTTCTGTGTTTCCCGTGATTCTAGAGATCATCTTTATCTCTTTCTAGGAAAGCAAATTGGTTTCCAGATACTTATTTGGGCATTGTTTTGTGGAAGTAATGGAAAGAAAAGTTTGGGGTGTTCCTGACTCTGGGGTCTTCAGGCTGCAGACAGTGGGTACCAAATGCCTGTTGAGTCTGTTTCTGGGGTGAGCAGCCAGCCAGAGCGCTTCCCCACTCCAGACAAACTGTTCCGCACCATCCCCAGGACATATCTGGAAAAGTACTGTTACCTAGTTTGACTAGTAACAAGAAAAAAAGGCAAGGAAGTGGACAATGCGTATCTTTTTTCATTTGTCAAAGTTTGAAGGTGCATTCTATTTACATAGCTTGTGTTTTCATAATTTCACTTTATCATTTGGCCTGCAGAGCATTAAAAAGCAAAACAAACACTTCTTTAATTCTGTTTTTGGCTGCACTCAAGGTGCTCTTACTTTATTGCCAAGTATGTAATTTGTGTGTGTGTGTGCGTGTACATGTGGATTATAACTTACTGTAGGATCTTTGCCAGCCATTTTGCACTCTTCAACCTTGTTTGCTGACGCTGGCCAGAAAATCTGTAAGGAAAGAAATATCTTTTAAGTCACATATTTATTGCATAATTTATTTTTTAATGACAAACAAAAAGCATTTCACTGCTTAACTTACACTAATAATTTAATAGTTTTGTATCTTTTATGCCCCGATTATAAGGCAAAAAAGGATTTTCATTGATAAATGAAAACAACTTTTCGTGTAGCATGCAGTAAAGAAAATAAAGGCCCAGGTCTTTGGCTAATAAAATTTAATTTTATTAAATATTTTTAAAATAAGTTAATCAATTTATTTAAATGTCTTTCTTCTAAATAAGAGATGTTTTCATCATCATTGCCTAAATTAGTGACCATCTTTTTTGCTTCTTCTGAATTTCTAGCAATTGTTCACACTAGAAGCCAGAAGGCTAAAATATTAAAAGAGGAGTTCTTATAAAAAAATTGTAACAGTAAAGTTTTGGATATCTTATAACAAAACCTGCTTAAATTCTTAAGACTTCAGGCTGATTTCTTGATTTCTTTCCAAGATATCTTGCACTAGAGACAGTTTTCTGACAAACACCTTAATGCCTGAATGTTTATCTGATCTATACTCTAAAGTTTTTGAGCTTCTTCCATTATTTATTTTGATTTTGAAATAGAAAAGACATCCATTAGAAATCTCGCCCTAGAAATTTAGTAGGTGACAGAGCCTGATAACATTTAGCCTCAAGATAACATAAATAACAGCATCGAGAGCTCTCTCTCTCTATACATACATATATATATGCAGAAACTTGTAGGTATGTATGCATATGTAGACAGAGTTTCCATAGAGGCATAAGATTAGCAAAGTGAATCTGTTATAAAAATAAATAAACAAATGAAAGAATACGTGGAATTGCAGAGATTAATTCTGAGCCTAATATTGGGTGATGACATTCACTGCCAGAAAATTTTGTGTGTTTTTGCTTTCTGTTGATTTTTTTAATTCTTGTTTTTCCAGGCCTAAATAGACTGTTGAAATACTTCATAGCTTTATACTGCAGAATATATTTAATGCAACAGAGGCCTTCCTGTCTAACCAAACTGCTGCACAGAATTAAAAGTGACCTGCTAAGGGAAGGCTGAGGCGTGCTGTGCAGGAGCACAGCAGCTCCCAGACAAGGGTGGCCAGATCACTGGTGGAATGGGAATTAGCAAAAAGGTCACACAAGCTATTTCAGATCGGAGAAGGTGGCCCCATTTCAGAGGAAGATTTCTGTACCATTATGAGGAGGAAGGACACATTCACGCCATCACACGAGAGGCATTTAATTTAGATGTGTAAGTTAGAGTTAGCCTCCCTGCACGCCCTGCACAATCAATTCAGGTAGACAGGCATGTCCAGAGGGTGATTCAGAGCAAAGCCTAATTTAAGCGCTCTTGATCACCCTCCAGCAGGGCCTCTCTCTCTTCTGACACATTAAAAGCCTTGCCTCTTAAGGAAGGCATTTAACTTTGCTGCTGCAAGCTGGATATCTCTGCCCCTTGATACTCCTGAGGTACAGTAATAAAGCCCATAGATTAAAGGATCAGATGAATTTGGTAGAACAAGTTTAAGGTAGTGTTGTAGCTGTGATAATCTAAAGATAGGCAAGACAAAGTCTGTAGAGAGGTAGTATCTTAATAGTCAGGCTTCTGGGCACACAAGTCCTTCTGCAGGCCACCTCTTTTAAAAGCAGAGAAGCTAGAGTTGAACTGTCTCTGAAAACAAAAGAAGAATCTGTGAAAGTGGTTTAAACATTTGATAAATCAATTATTTTTATATATGGGCTGCCTACTATAGTGTGAGGAGGTGGGACACAGAGTCATCTTGAAAATGAGAGAAGCCAGAAAAGAGTCAGTGTCAAGAGTGAGATGAGGGTCATAGTGACCAAAAAACCCCAAACAGCAGTTGTCTCAGTCACCCAACTGAAGGGCAAAGGCTGAGACAGACATAACAAAAGATTGGAAAATAGTTTGGCAATTAGGCTTCAGAGTACAAAAAAAAAAAAAAAAAAAAAAAACAAAGAGTAAAAGGAAACCCGTTCCCTCTTTTTAAAAGTGCATTTCTGAATTATTTTAAATCTTGGAGAGGAATGGACAACATCAACTCATACAAATTTTCCTTATGAGGCCAAACCATTCTGAATGTCGCTTCAAAACAAGTAAAGAGGTCAGTTTTTAAACAGTGTTTGAGGACCAGCCATGCTAATAGTTTGTTCATCTTGTATTACACATAAACCAAGGACTAACAGACTTTTCCCTGCTGCAAAATAATGAAATACATATTTTTTGTCTTAAAAAGAAAGGCGTACACTAAAGCAACCTTGGAATCTCAAAATAAATCTTGAACTTACATTGAGAGGGTCCTGGCTTATATTATTAATATTCAAAGACAGAATATGATCTTTGCTGCCCACGTAGATCCGATCCTGATCTTCGTCCATTAATAATATCCTGTAATCCAGGGGACTGTGGGATAGTCTGTGATATTCAGAGGTCTTAGTTTCTTGCAGCTCTGAAATAGTAAAGACAAGTTAGTAAAGTGGTTCAGTTGCGTTTCTCGCTTCACAACTGCATTTCTTTCTAAATAAAGGCACCTTTGAACACAAGTGGGGTCAATAAGAGAAGAAAAACCCTCATCAGACACTTGGTAATAATGTAAAGGTTGAGTTAGAACAAATTTCCCTTTCCCAGTTTGAATGAAATTTTTTTATGCATTAAGTAGCTAGACATAGCTCATAAAAATCAGCCATTGCTGTTACTCATTCATCTAATTAATTCTTATTTTAATGGATATGATTATTTACAGCTTTGGCTTTTAAGGAAGATCATATATTAAATTAATCAATGTGTTCAATACATTTTGAAGTTTATGACAGCAGAAAATCCACAAGATCAATGAAAACTACATAAGGACAGTTTACTTTCTTTTCCTAACAGGGGGCTTCACTAAGAATAGGTTTTTATCATTTTAAAGGTAGCATTTTTTTTTTTTATTTCTTCATCACCATGCAGGGCTTATTTAAAAGAAAAAAAAAATTCAGTGTGCATTTATTCAGTGGTTTGTTTATGGAATTTGGATCAAATCATCAAACTGTAGAACTAGCTCTTTCTTTTTTTTTTTTTCCACATAAAACTTTCTTCAATGAAGTGAAGTGAAAAACGTCCTTTGATCTCTGTAATGCAGAATCAGGCCTGTTACAGGAATAGCACAAGCATCTGCAATGTAAGTATTACTTGCTGCCCTAGTGAAATCTCAGCCTTCCTGTCTTTGCTTGGCCAATATATTGTGACGCCCACTCAGGTTATTTTTCTTTTCAGTAATAACAGAAGGGATATTTCTCAAGAGCTGAGAATGGAAAACCAAACTTTAATAATCAATTTTTCCTTAGTCACATATATGATTTTATTTAACATATAATTATGCTTTCTTACCTCATGAGCATTATTAGTGCATTGTGTTCTCTATGACTCTAAAAGGGTGGCAAATACACAGTACATACAAAAATTAAGCCCTTCTATAATGTTTATTCATAAATCTAAGAAATTAATCCACTTCCCTTTTGCAAACTGTTTGTCTGGGATGGTATGGCTTGTCACTCTTGCTAAAGCCTAGTTTTTGCTAAAAGCAAAGTTTTTGCTATTAGTTCCCTATAGAAAACAGTAGATGTCTTATACAAAATTAATCATCTATGCCCTTTAGATGACTAGGTTAACATGGGCTAATGCTGTTTTGGAGAAAAAAAAATCTCAAAACAAATGTATTCTTGGATATTTTCTCTGTTAAAAAAAAAAACTTGGAAAGCAATTTTTGACAAGCTGTAGACAAGGTACAGACAAAGGCTGAAGTCTTAGGACTTACCTGTCTAACAGAGATCTAATGATTGAAAGAACACGTATCAGAATACGGTTTGCATTGATAAATATGATACATAGCTCCACTTAATTTTTATCTTGATCGTTAAGTAGTTTCATAGGAAGATGGAAAATATTTTCAACTACTGAAAGATATGATGTTTTGATCCACTTAGATGTGTGACAGCTCTCAGGAGCTAAGGGTTGCCTACATTCATTTATTATGGTAATATTAAAAAAAAACCCAAATAATATTTTTATTTCATATGTCCCTCAACAAAAGATAAATGTACAATCAAGGTTTACGGTCAGCACCTAAAAACTTAAACTGAAATAATACTCATTAAATATATATGAAAATTATCCACATTGTTTTCAGAAGTCTTTCTTCAGTGCTTGAAAAATCAATGTTTTACTTTATTAAAAAAAAATTCTCCTTGTAAGCTTTTAGCTAGGCTTTTCAAAGGCACCTGGGAGACTCACCAGCATAGTGCCATTAAAATGCAGTCCCTTTGCCCTCCCTGAAGTTCTCAGACTGACCTTTCATAACAAGCCTGAGAAGCTAGTGCTCATCCCTTTTCCTGGTGGCCTTATTAGCTTTACTGTACTATTTGGCAGCTGTAAGGTGAAACTTAACCTCCTCATAACTGTATATTTGATATCCTAGGAAAGCATATGTAAACTGGGAGAGGCAGCAGTTTCCCGCACAACACTGGGTAAATGTGAGCACAGTGATTGCGCGATATACTGCCCCTCCTTATTGCTTCAGTGACTGACAGTGATTGACAAAGAATAAGCCATGATTGACATAAATGATGATCGTTTTTAAGCAAGAGACAAAATCAGAGATATTTGATTTCCCCAATTTTTAACTACTAAAATCCATTATTTTCCTGGATTTTTAACCTCTTTGCAATGGTATTTTCTTTCTAAGACCCCTGAAGGGTAATCTGTCTCCATCAAGCTGCTGCTGAGGACAATACCTTATGACATGTCACTAAACTATGGAAACTCAACGCCATTCATAAGAGGGAAGGAAACCCCTGAAACAAATACTCTCATACAGATTTATTAGTTTTATTTCTTTCAGAGCTGAAGCTTGCAGTTTATTAGCCTCTTAGGGCTATGGGGAGGCAATTTATAATTAATCAAATTTGCTTTTCATTTAACAAAATTTACCACACAATCACCCAATAAAATTTGATTTTTTGAAGATTTACTATCTGAGTGTTGTTCCTTGGAAATAGAGGTGGCTGGAAAGATGCTTTTCATCTCCAAAAGGTTTTGTAAAAAAATGATGTAAACATTTACTGGCCTTCAAAGCAAATTCTATTCCATGCTTTGGGAATTTAACCAAATATTCAAGGCAGTAAACTCTATATGGAGAATGATGAGCGGACAGCTCTCTGTGAATTTTAACAATTTTGTTTGGCAATTAAAAAAATATTATAATATATTCCATATGCAAATAACTGTCATCCTTAATGATACGAGAATAATCTTTGTTAGCCATTTTTTTATCAGTCAGTGAATTTAGTTTTGGCTTTCCTCAATGATAAAGCCAATGCCTACTTGATTCCTAGTGTTAGAAATCTGATCTTAGAGGACAAATTATACAGCACTTGTTCCTTTTAATGAAAACCAAAAGCTTCAGTGAACTCTCTCCCCAGAACGACTATTATTGAACTGCACATTTTGGAGACCCCAGTGACTGGGAATTTTCTCTGTATACAGTGTACAGCTTACTGACAGTCAGGCAGTTTAACACCTACACCTAATTATTCTTCTAATCCACCACAAAAGTTAATGCAAATATTATCTTTAAAAAAGTTGTGTTCTCACAGGAGAAATAGCAAAACATTTGTGTTATATCCATTATTAACATCACAAAAGCCTTTGTAACACTCAAAATTCATTGTGTTGGCCAGAACAAAACAAATTACAGCTATCAGAGACTGGAAATCCAGGAAGGCGGAGGTATCTCCCCCACTGACAAACACTGCCTGTTCTGCCCAAATTGTCCAACCTGCACATGGGTATATGAGCTAGATCCACTCATCAGGTTGTCTTCTGAACGTCTTATTTAATCACTCAACATCAGCCTTTCATCACTCCTTATTTCAAATTCACTGGTGTCACAATGCTGAAAACACAGCCTGGCTTTTCTAACATAAGGGTTGTAATCATCCCTAATAGGTAAGATAAGACTCTAATATAAGTGACTTCCTTGGCAGACAACTTACACCAGTATAGACGTTTGATACATATGTTACTGAATCTAACACAATTTTTATCAGGAGCTTTCCAAAATAAGACCCACATAACCACTTGTTACTGAAAAGTGCAATATAATCAAGAAGTTGCACTGCAGAGTTTGGTAAGTTACAGCTGTGGTATGCAGCCATACCCAGCCCAAGTTCAAAGCACTGAGTTTATCCATAGATAAGCTGTGGATAAACTACAATACGTGAAAGAGTACACGAATTTGTCTCTGCACTATACCAACCCTGGGTTTCCAGCCTGGCAGGGCTTCTTTGAGCAAATCTAGGATGCTCTGTCAAGCTTTTAATTTAGGATCCCCTGTGGTAAAGTAAAAGAAATAATATGTTTTCTTCCTCTTCCCTGCTGGCGTAAGGATTCAGTCTCAGAAGGTTGTTTATGGGGAATTTCAGAGCAGAGGCAGAGATTTGGTGTATGTGCCTCAAAAAAAGCAGGGAGAAAAGCACAGCAGTCCAGTTTCACATGCAGCACCACAGTGAAGGGGAGAAACACAGCTTTCCAGAAAGATGGGCTACATATCCCCAGGGAACCTCTGCTGCCCAAACTGGCATGGATTTTACACAGCCTTAGTGATTTGGAAGTCAGCAATAAAACACTGTTTCCTTTTATTCCCTCATGGGGTATGGGACCCACAAACGACAGGCCTTGTGTACAGCAAGCGGTACACTTGACAATATTAGCTTCTAGTTAAGGAGACTGTAAGACTCTCTTAAGCCTCATTAAACTTTCAGTTTGAGCCAACAAATATGCCAGCCCATGCCAAATGTGAAACTGCAGTGTAAAAACTCATATTCTAGGAACTGGAATGAAACCAATTTTCTTTTCATAGAATCATAGAATCATAGAATCATAGAATCATAGAATGTTTTGGGCTGGAACGGACCCCTAGAGGTCATCTAGGGTCATCCCCCTGCAGGGAGCAGGGACACCGCTAACCAGATCAGGTTCTTCAGAGCCCCGTCCAACCTGGCCTGGAATGTTTCCAGGGATGGGGCCTCCACTACCTCTCTGAGCAACCTGTTCCAGTGTTTTACCACCCTCATTGTAAAGAATTTCTTCCTTATATCCAGTCTAAACCTACCCTGGTTTAGTTTAAAGCCATTACCCCTTGTCCTGTTGCAGCTGGCCCTACTAAAAGATTTCCCCCCCCCAACCTCACTTTTCCCCCCTTCCCCCCCCGAAATAAATATTTAAGTAGAATGATGTTTTTGCTTATAGCATCAAATGGAAATGGCACCCTTATACTCACAGGTCACTTTTGAACAGGTGAAAAGTAATTCACACATATAAATTTAGAGACTGTACATAATGTTGCTAAAATTGAAAGGAATGTTTATATATTTTAAAAATGTGAGTGGGATCAGAGGTATCTGCAAAGTT